CGTGCTCCTTCTTGTTGGAGGCGTCTACACTCACCACATCTTTTAGGATGTAGAACCCAAAAATGTCCGAGAATCACTCACAAGGAATAGAGCACGTAAGATAAGTAAAAGAAGGGAATGAAGAGTAAAATACAAAGTCTATAGTTTTTCTTCATTAAAGGGCTTCCTATATACATATATATATATATATGAGAGGTGCCCTATATTTATATTTACCTTTATGCCCTCTTCCTATACAAAAGAAACTCATGGTTACTAAAATAATTTACATGATACACATACAAAACAAACTTTTATTTTGTTCGACCTTGAGGTCAATCTACTCAACATATGACCAGACAACCCATTGGTATTTTGTGACGATCTTCGGGTTTAAGGGTTGACTATCTGAATGATCTTATTTAACTTCCCCAGCTGGCTCTAACATATTTTATCTACAGGCCCACCTCGTTTTCTTGTTTTACATCCTTACATGGAGATTCATGCTGTCTTGATCTGGTTTAACAAATATAAATAATAAGACTGCATAAAATGTTAGTTATGATGAATTAGCTAACAAAATAGTTAAACTGAATAAAATTGAAATCTAGGATATGAAAAATCAAGTCCACCAAATATTTATTAAAGCAAATCTAAGCCAAATAGAAATATAGTTTAGTATAATTAGTTCATTTTAATAAAATCAAAATTTAACATTGGATATAAAAATGTTAAATCAAGGTTCTTTTATAAAAAATATTGATATTGTTTGATTATCATCTCATAGTTTCTTCAAAATTTTTTAAAAATTCAAACAAATTTGAAATAAGCATGTTATGGGCTTAATTTATTTTCTTTTAAGTGAATTTAAATTCATATTTCTAATATTATTTGGTTTTTTTGGATTATTTGGTTTAGTGAAAATCAAATACAATCCAACAAAATGATATTTGAGTATGAAAAATGTTTATTTTAAATTTTGATTGAATTAGCCAAATAAGCTCATGGTTGCCAAAAATTGACTTGACACCTCTATTCAATGTGAACTCAACTCGAAAATTTTAGTTTTGCGATGACCCAAATAAATTTTGGGTTAGGTTTCGATTAGGAATCCCCAACCTTAATTTTTTTGGTCAATTTCGAGTTGAGCCGCCAACATAAAATTGATTTGAATAACCATTATGTTATGTGCTAAACATGTTATACAGATTGGGTTCGACTCATCAAGTTGAAGGCCGATCAAGTTGGGTTGGACTATATAACTCATGTAGTATTTGAGTCAGGTTTATATCAAACAATTTCAGGTTGGGTCAAATTTTGGTTGGACCTGAATCTGACTCACGAAACCAAATTAACACTCATACTCTGTTGGGTAATGTGGAGGAGACCCGGTTTACCGCAATTTAATTAGCTTCTTAATTAAGAATCTCACCTACTGCTCATTTACTGCATCCCATATACTGCTCATCTACCTCCCATCTACGACTCTCCTGGTTTTCATAAATAGTCTCTTATGACTTGTCATTAAGCCAAGCAAGGGCCAAGCCAAGACCTCTAAGAGAAAAAAAAGGAAAGAGAGAGAGAGAGAGAGAGAGAGGAAGCGAGAGAAGAAAATAGAGACTTTCATGTAAACGTCGAGGCGCTCGACGGTATAATTCCTCGAAGAAATAAAATCATTTGCAACTCCGTGGACATAGACAAATTTACTGAACCACGTAAATCTGTGTGTCGTTCTGGTGTTTTTTTTTCAGCATGCAATTTTTCTCGTTCCATTTTTTATTTTATTGTCGTCGTTTTTCACAACAACTGGTTTTAGAGCCTTGGGTTCAAATCTAAAGAAGAACGATGGGCGGAGACTAAGTGTTGATATCGGGGATTGAGAAGTTCAATGACACATATTTTGCTTACTGGAGGATGCAAATAGAGGACTACCTCTATGGGAAGAAACTTCGTCTTTCGTACAAGGAAAGCGACCCGAAACTTCATCTTTCGTTAACCCTGTCGAGATCGGTTGCCTACAACGTCATCAAGAAGAGGACTACTACAGATCTCATGGCGGCTTTATCAGGTATGTATGAAAAGTCATCGACGAATAACAATGTGCACTTGATGAAAAAGTTATTCAACTTGAAGATGACGGAATGTGTGATGTTACTTTACACCTGAATGATTTCAATACAATCACAAATCAATTATCATCTGTTTAAATTTATTTTGATAATGAGATACGTGAGCTGATATTATTGGTTTCATTGTCAAATAGTTGAGAAGTCATTTGTAGGTAAATCTAAGATGAAATATGATGATATCCGTGATTTGATTTTGGCTAAGGAGGTGCGCAAGAAGGATTTTGGCGAGGCCTCGTGTTCAAGTTCGACCTTGAATGTTGGTTCCAGAGGGAGATCACATGATAGGAACTCAAACAGAGAAAGATCAAAATCAAAGTCTGGTCAGCAAGCAACCTGCTGGAATTGTGGTAAGGTTGACCGCATAAAAAGGAACAGCATGAATCCTAAGAAAAAAGAAAATGATGGTGTTAATGTTGTAACTGAAAAAATACATGATGCACTATTGCTAGCAGTTCACGGTTCTGTTGATGACTGAATACTGGATAAGGGGTTTCCTTCCATACATCTTCCCGTCGGGAATTAATGCGATATTATGTTGCATGTAACTTTTGGAAGATATATCTGGCTGATGGAACAGTTATGGACGTGGTGGGGATGAGAGGCGTTGATATTACACTCTCTAACAAGAGCAAATGAACATTGCAAAAGGTTAGACACGTTTATGAGTTGAAAAAAAAACCTCATCTCTGTTGGACAGCTCAACAAGAGTGGTCATTGAATAGTGTTTTCAGATAGCACATGAAAGTTTACCAAATGAGCATTATTACTGGCTCGGGGTAAGAAAACTGACACACTATATATGACTACAGGTTTACTCAGCCGTGGATACATGAGTCAGAGGTGCATTATGGGGAAGCAGAAGAAGGTCAATTTCTTGAAAAGTGGCAGAGAGCCAAAGATATGAAAATCAAACCTTGTACATAGCTATGAATAAATCTTGCAAGATGAGAATTCAAGTGGGAGCTGGCTAAGATGAAGAAGACGGGTTTCCTGTAGGGAATCAGACTCGGGAGCTGGCATAACTTCCACCGGAGAAGAATGTATTGCACAACAAGTAGGTGTACCGAATGAAGACTGAGCTTGATGACAGTAAGAGGTATAAAGCTAGACTTGTTGAAAAGAGCTTTCAACAGGGGCTGGATATTGCTCATGCAGTGAGAGTTGTAAGCAGATGCATGTGTAACCCATGAAAGAGCTTGGCGGTACAAGGCTACACTGATAGTGATATGTCAACTGAGGGTGTTACTCGTGAAAAGTTGAATTTGTGCTTGAATTTAGCTGGTCTTCTGATATGAAGACATGAGTTTTAAGTTGCAGAGATGGATGATATCTTGTTTAAGAAAAATGTCGGCACAACTAGTAGATGATGCAACCAGTAGGTGATGAAGTCAGTGTCCCAGTTTCCAAGTGGAAGAATTGTTGGGTAATGTGGAGACCCGGTCCACCGCAATTTAATTAGCTTCCTAATTAAGAATCTCACATACCACTCACCCATCTTCCCACCTACCGTTCATCTACCGCATTCCATCTACCGCTCACTTACCTCCCACCCACCGCTCTCATGGTTTAAGTCAATCAAGGGCCAAGCCAAGTCCTCTAAGAGATAAAGAGAGGAAGAGAAAGAGAGAGAAAGAGAGAGAGAAGAAAATAGAGATTTTCTTGTAAACGTCGAGGTGCTCGACAGTGTAATTCCTCGAAGAAATAAAATCCTCTGCATCTCCGTAGATGTAGGCAAATTTGCCGAACCACGTAAATATATGCGTCGCTCTGGTGTTTTTTTTGTAATTTTTCTCGTTCCATTTTTCGCTTTATTGTCGTCGTTTTGAATTACATACTCGACTAAATTCAAATTTTGATAAAGAAATACATACTTCTAATAAATAATAATGTCGCATTGATTTATTTTTTTGCATAATCTTAGGGTGCCTTTGGGACAGCTGTGACTGCATGAAATCTCAATTCAAAAGTTGTTGTGGACAATCTTTTAAAAACTGATATTTCAGAAGCTGTTGTTTGTTCTCAAAATTTAATTTTTAAAGTACTCTTTGTGAACAAATGTCTGAAATATTTCTCTGTTCATATTGTGTAGATTTTTAATGCACTATGCTGTTGGTAAAAAAATGAAATATACAAATTAAATTAATATATTTATATTTCGATGTACGTAAATGTTTGCTAAATCGCAAGCCAAATCCATAGGCATTGGAATCAGAAACGCGAACAATTGTTAAATAATTCAAAATATTTACTACCAATTTTTAAAATATGATTTTGAAATGTTTCATGCATCAATGAGAAATATCAAGAACGCCAATAATTGGATTATCCTCCCTATTGTTTTTGAACAAATATTATGTCCGGACTCCAAACGTAAAGATACGTCCGAATTCTAATAAAATCACGCCACTGCAGGTGACAAAAAAATTAAAAAAATTTCATTTTAGCACAAGGAAATATTCTCCCGTGTTATTCTGCATTATTCAGATGTTATTATGGTGATATTCATGTATTATTGTGTTTTGGGAATATTTCCCGTATTATGAGAACATAATAACACTCCAATACTACCACAATAACACCCGAATAATGCAGAATAACATGAAAAAAATATTTCACAGTTTTATCGGGCCGAATTACAAAAAAACGAGGTTTTTTTGCCTCTACATGAAGTTGATTCATTAGACTCTATTTAGATGTATCTCTACGTCTTTAATTGCAATTCAAATTTTACCATCCATTTCTTCCCCGGACGACTGCAATCGGACTTTCCATCGGTCGGTCCGTACAATCAAGTAACTGGACTCACAATGCTCTCCAATTTCAACCGCCGAACAGAAAATCAACCGTTGGATCGAAACTACATGATTACTGAACCCGGCAGACAAGAACCGCTGGAGTAGCGGAGGCGAGTAACTGCATAGCTGCGGGAATAGCAAACTACTTAAATACCCTCCTCATGCTCTCTCGCTGCTCCCATTCTTCACGCCCATTCTTCACGCCCTTAGCGTGCGGTCGGGTCGGTCTTTTTCCCTGCACCCTGTCCCCGGAGCTGCTCACAAAACTCACACCCTCTTTCTGCCCCACTCTCCTCGACGTGTCGCTAGGTTGCTTGCAGATCCAAATTCCAGGCTTAAAATCCTGGCGCAATTCGCTTGGGTTCTAATTTGCCATCATTGTCGTGCTTGATATGATCGCGGAAATAGTTGGTTGCAGAGCTTTCGATCGCGAATATCAAAGGTAGTATTTATTTTGGTTGCGTGTAGAAAATAATTCAAATCGGAAGATTGATATTTTTTGGAATCTGATCGAGCTTTTTGTATTTGAATTGCGTTGTGGATCTGCGCCTTTTGGCCGGCAAATCCATTTCAAGATTTGTTTGATTTGGCCGTCGAGTACGGGGAGGGTTTTGTTTTTTGTTTTTTTGTTTCGCAGATTAAATTAGGGTTTCGAATCGATTTGTTTTGCTTTGAATAATATAGAAATAGGAGCTGTTGTTATATCAGGATCCTGGTTGCATTTTCGCTAGTCGAATCAAATCGACTCGTTGAGGAAAAAAGAAAAAGAAAATCGATACTTGGTTGAGTGCCTTTTTTTTGTTTTGTTTTGTGTTTTTTTGATTTGTTTTTTTTTTTCATATTGAAGATGGTACCATAAACTGGGAAAGCATTCAAAACGTTGCACCAATAGAGTGTTTATTTGGATGGGATTACTTTTGCGCGTCATATTACAAAGCTTATTGGTGAATTTATTCCGCGTGCATTTTGTGGTTGTCATGACAACATGTTTACTTACGAGCTTCTTAAAACTTTCTAAAACAATAAGGTAAAGGATCTTTATTTAAGTTTTGAATATTAGTTTAATCTATTATTGGCTGTTTGATCCAGTGTTGCAGTTCATAAAGATTCAACTGCTATTTAGAATAATAAATAGAGTTTGTAGCCCTTTCTTTATCTTATTTAAAATTGGCCGACTTGATGTATAATCTAAATAAAGTGACATCTGGTGTTAAACTGACATCTTATGTTGCTGCCTTCATAGATAATCAAATTTTACAAAAAGTTCAATGTATTATTATGATGATTTGATTCTTGCCAAACAAACTAAGTAATCTATTATGTTTCTCTGGCAATGCAAATGGGAATGAAATGGTGTAACAAGGTCTTCAATTTTTTTTTGAATTTTTTCTCTATGAATTTCGATTTCTTTGAGAAAAGGACATACAAAATTTTCTTCCATGCTAGTTACCATTTTATTGACTTGCTTCCTCTCCTTTCTTATAATTCCTTTGCAATTTGGTGCCAAAACCTAGTGGTGTTCTCATACTAAGATTGTGAATAGGATCTTGTAGTGATCTGGGAGCTTCTCATGGTCCATCCCAATGGGCTTGTCAAGATGCCATGCAAGGGAGTGGGTCATCAACCCTCCCAAGAAAGAAATAATTTTAAATTTATTAGGATTTAAGGAATGTTTTTATTTTTTTCTTATTTTGACATTTGCTTTTGAATTTTTTATTTGTTCACTTAATTTTGAGAATCATTTATCTTTTTGTCGAGATTGCCTATTAGTTTCCTTAATTAGGAGACATGTATGTCTATTTAATCTTCCTTTTGGGAAAATTTTAAAGTAATAAAGTTCTATCTCTTAAGCTAGCCCCAAAATCTATAGTTGTTCCTTTCTCTTCTTTTAGTTTTATTTGCTGAGCATTTTCGAGCGACTTACAACTACAATGCTATTTTCTACGCACCTCTGGATAGGTCATTGAGGTGTCCCCATGCCTCTAACTTCTTGCTTTGTTGGCAGCAAGCATTGTGCTTATATAAAGCTTGAAAGTCTTGAAATTGTGCTTGATTTAGTATTTGATCATGCATTTAGGTTTATGGAAGCAAGGGGAAATTATTGAAACTATAAAAGTGAATGTTAATACTAATTTCAGCTAAACTTTCAAGCCCAATAAACATCAAGATTCCACTGGTAGTCTATAAACCTCAAATCTTGGAACAACTCCCAAGAATGCTACTATTCAGGAGGGATTAGGAAAAACTCTGTAGAATGTGGATGCATCTTTCAAACCTTTTTGGAACAAAGCATTCCCCAACACCCGACGATGGAATCATTCCACCGTAGAGATTATGGCAGAGTGACGATGTTTTGAAGGTGAGGATGATGATAATGAGGATAGATGAGCATCTTACGATGACAGGGAATATCTACATGATGTTTCATGAATGATAGACTTTTTTTTAAGATTAATATGGAGTCAAGTTATCAACATATGATAGAAACATTGATGCTGAGTTAGTGAATGTTTGAATTAAACAATTAGAGACGATGTACTTTTCATTTTCTCATTATGGCCATGCACAAAAGATCACCTTCACATGTATGAAGCTTTTCGACAATGCATTGATGTGGTCAATTTGGAATCTCAAAATCTTGATCGGTGAAAATTGAAATAGTCATTATTCTAGGGAGTATTGAATACACATTATTCTGTAGATCATGAATGGATGAGAGCACATATAGTGGTATTGACTAAGGAGGGGGATCCAACAGATTGTGCAGGAATTTGAAATTTTTAAAGAAGCAATTACTCTGGATGTTTTTGAGGAGGAAATATTTACTTTGATGAACTATAAAAGAGGTTTCCTCAAGAGACTTCGATCAATGAGAATTAATATTTATTTTCAATTTCTTTTATCATTGATGTGAGTGTTAAGGAGTTTTCCATTGAAGCTAGAAGTAAACCTAAGCCTAGAAAAAAAATAACCTAGCACAAAAAAAAAAAAAAGGAGGAGAAAAGAAATGGTCATTGTAAAAGATGGTGAATTGGTAAAAGCTCGAAAAATAATAAGAAGCTTTTTGTTGCATTGACATCTTTGAGGCTATAGCAGTATTAATTGTTGAAAATTTTTTTGTTTTGGCGGATAAATATGAAATGAAAGAACCCATATACATGTGTTAAATAAGGAAAAATATGTGCCATATATTTATGTGCTTAATACATAAAAGGAAGTGCGACGGATTGCTCTTTTCTTCTGTCGGCCTATATTGAAAATTTTGAATGAATATTTATTTTTTAAATTTTTTGTAATTTGTAGTTTCCAATTATTTTTTAAATAATTTTGCATATAAATACCCATTAGGGAAATTAGCAAAGCAAGCTTTCTAGGCATTTTGGTTTTTTTTAATATGATGTTAAGGCAAGATTAGGGTCCTCTTCTTCAACATTTGTTTTTTCTATCCTTCATTCATATTCTCATACTTTATTTTCTATTTTCCCTTCAAAAGTGTCAACCATTTTAAATGGTGAAAATAAGAGTAATCTAGTAAAAAAGAATTCTATGAGAGACAAACGTCTTATTGTTTAAATAGAAGATACTATTTGAAGTGATCTTAGATTGTGAAAACCTTTGTGAAGAAGAAGAGGAAACTCTACCATCTTGTTGATCCTCTAGATTTGAAAGACTCGAAATTTACACTTTTGGATGAAATATATTCTATAATATTGCCATGGTTATGGATCGCCATAATGTGAAATTAGTGGATCATAATCCAAATAAATGCAAAAGATGCTTGACAAGTTATCAAGTGAACTTGCTCAAAATTTAAATTGTGCCACTGTCATCTACAAATCAAATTGATGGTCCCAAAAACCAAATAATATAACCTTTTTATCATTGAAAATTTCAATGCAATGATGTTCTATTAGTTGGAAGTAGATTAATACTAAGATCTAGTGATGACATTATGGTGCTCAAACAATATGTGGTAAGAAAAAATATTCTTCAGTTCTTGCGGGACTCAATGTTGAAATGGGCCAACTTTGCTTTTTAACTTTGAGTAGAAAAAACTGGTCAAAGAGATCTTTTCACTTGTATGAATAAAAAAAGTAGAAGAATGGGAATGCTCACACAACAATGAAATGTCAGTTATAACAACCACATAAACTCAAGGTAAATGACATATTACTGCCGAACATTTTCAAAAGGATGGATAAAATTATTTTCACAAATCTTTTTTCAGAAATAACTTGTGATATATTTAGTGCAAAAAGAAAGAAGACATGTCAAAGCGAAATATTGAAAACTTCACAGAAAGCCAGAAGGCTATTGTGGAATCAAATAGGGCCAATTTAAATGACACGCCCATCTCATTGAGTCAAAAGGCTCATCTCAGGAGGAATTTACAAGTTGAGGATTCTTAAGCATGACCCAAAGCTTTCAAGTGTGCACGCCTGTTCATTCATCCTTTCTTAATGGTAGTTACTTATATGCATGGTTTTATAGGTGCTGGATGCCCTTTCGTTTGTGAGAAAAAAGGAATACATTCATCTGCTAAAATGATCATTGAGGCATCAAAATAACTCGTCTAAACTTATGGTTATTTGAATTGGAGACAAATATGCTTATTTATACTATTGACGTCATTGTCTTCAAATAGGATTGATCAATGGCGTACCATTTGGTGATGTTGTAGAGAACCCATAAAAATTATCCTACATCCTGCAAAGGATTATTTTGCCTTGCATTAGGTGCTAAAACATTGGAGGCACTGTACAGTGGGGAAGTAGATCTCCTGCATTTAGACCATCACAACCTAAATAGTATCCACACACTTAATTGAAGTTATGTAGGTACAATTTATGAAATGGACTACTTTTATATAATAGCACAACCTATTGATCAAATATAATAACGGCGCATGGAGCATACTGGCATACATGTTGTTGATTGATCACCAACACTATCATGACCATATAGGTCTTACTGTTGCACCATGAGATCATCGTTTTTAATGCAAGCCATTGAAAACCAGCAACTTACTGTTCCTTTGATGAGCTCTACAAAACGAGGACCAACTATATGTACTGAAGGATATTATTCGATTGACTTGGATACGACAAGCACACACTTAGATGCGTGGCAGAACACTTGGTGGAGAAAATACTCCTAAATTCAAAGCATTATGTTTGTTTGTCAATAAATGCTATTAAATGTGCAACAATTTTTTTTAAAGAAAGTCATTTTTGCATAATTTTGAAGCCGTTGAACTCTAAGGATGCTTAAAACGTTGATTTCTTAGGAAAACTACTGGACAATCAATGAGGTTTCAATTATCTTTTCCAATGCTTATTGTTCAGCTAGATGGCATGTTAAATTTATTTGCAAAAAGGATTACTGTTCTTGAAGCAAACATAGCTGTTCTTTCATCATGTTTGGAAACAGTTTAGATTACTC